GAGCGCAAAAGAGATAGAGAATTATGTGGAGAAGGTACACAGCCGGAGCAAATTGGATACGCTTCGATTCAAATGAAAGAAAATTCTGTTCATGGGATTCTTTGACAGCGTTTTTCTATTTGCTTAGGTGTGCTTTTCCACATTCTTTTCATCATCGTCGTCAATTCCTGTTCATTTGACCATCCAACGCCAACAACACACACTTGATGCTGCTGCTGCTGCTGCTATTGCTGTTACTTGACAAGCGAATTGCAATGCGAACCAACCGTTTCTAGCGGTTCAACGTGTAGTGATTGGACACTTAGATCGTCTGTTCTTATTTTCTTCTCTCTATCTCTCACTCACTGTCTTGCACCTTTCTTTGATTCCATTCGTTCAATTGGCATTGCAACAAATTACACGGAAACTACTCTTTAATCAACCATCCGCAGCTGGTAATTAAGTGGAAAATTAACGTCTCCTGTTCACAAGGATCACACATTAAACACGCTCGATGTGAGACTTTTTGTTTTTGTCAGCCATTTCCCAATTCAGGTGCATCATCTATTGAAACAATGCGAAGATATAAAAAAAACCCAATTCCAATTTTCTTGTCTTTCTCCATTCAAACAGATTTCTGCAAGTAATTCACGCTCAGTCGGTAATAATTGAAGCTATATTCGCTGTGCACACGTCCATAAAATGTACATTTTTATCCATAGCTAATAATATTTATTGCATTTGTCATCTGAAATCAACCCAGCCGAGTTGAGTGAGCAAGCTGCGGAGAGACTTTTATTGAAATTTAGCCATAAAGGCACGTACAGCACCAGCACAGATTGTTAACGAAAACAGAAAAAAAATGCTATGCGATTCCGTGCATGCAATCAGCCAAAGTAATCAAATGACAAAGGTGACAGCGGTGCATTATGGTGACAACAAATGGACGTAACTATCGTTAATAGCACTTTCAACAATAATCCAGCACGTAAACATAAAACTACTTAATTTATGTACCATTAATCGAAATGTAGGTAAAAAACAATTACACAATGTGAATCAGGAACCCATAGCCAAACAACGGCCAACCAAACAAAAAAAGCAACCAAACGGTGCAAAAGCACAAATTAATAATCTGTTTTTTCTCTGCTCATGCCGAGAAAGAGATTTACATTACATTGTTAAGTTGATTTTGTGGCTACGCGAACGCATACAACAAGGTAAATATCTATCTTGGCCAATTTGCAACGCAACTCTGTTCTTTTTATACATATTATAATTTAAAATGTAAAATACCGTCTTAATTTTATGGCCATATCAGAACATTATATGAGTGCATGTGGTATATTTAGTGGTAATTTTGAGAATGTTCCATGCGGAGTGGGGGAGCCGATTATTTTTTGTTCGATATTTGTAATCGAAATGTTTCGCCAAGTTTTGCTTTTGTTTGTTATAATCATTTCGTGGAATTGGTCAACGTAAATTATTGGATTGGATGGAGAAATTGACAAAAAAATATCCAATAATTGGGCGATAAAGATAAAATGCCAGCGGTGAATTTCGACTCGTGAACTGTATGAGACATCGATGCTCAGATCCATACGTTTACATGAGAGAACTACTGTAGAAGTCATGGCATTTGTCTATTGGAAGACTCACAACTTTTATGGGTGCTGTTTGATATTGAACCGAACTCGTATTGAACAAAAGCAGATTTCGCCTAAAATGTATTCTGCTTGTTGGTGTGCGGCTGATGCAGTTCTCGTCTGAACATGGGCTTGTTGTTGAGCGATATGTTTTGCCAAAAAATGAGCCATAAGTTCTGGCATCTTCTTATGAATGTACATTATATCACATAATTTTACACATCGAAAATTCTAAGACATACACAGACCAAACGTCATTCCTCCTTTTTATACGAAAAAAAAAAACAGATTCCTCAGATGATATAAACATGTGCATTATTTTACATTATAATATCGCAGCAGGTAATTCGGCTGAAGCTGAATGTCGTCATTCAATAAAGCCAGAACAAAAAAACTGGTAGGAAAAAAAACACTCGGAGTCGGAGAATACAAAACGAAAATTGTATGTTCGGTCAACAAAATAGAGTCATCAATAAATGCATTTGCCAGAGGCAACGAAATTAAATGGCTATAAATAAATGTGTTTGTTTTTGGGTCCTTTTCAAAGTAACAAAATGTGCACACGTTTTATTGCTCAACGGAATGAATATAAAGGATTTTTGTTTCCTTCGCTCTTCAAATTTATTGATTTAGTAAATGTTGTTTTTTTCTCTGTGTATTCTTGATGTTATGAACATGAAGTGATATTTAAACTGCACCTGCTTGAAAGCGATTCAATGTGTGACATTATAAGGAAGACGAATGAAAAAAAAGACACACACACACACACACACACACACTGGGACAACGAGCGTTAAGTTGTTTTGGTGATGAAAATACAAGATTTATATAGTGTCGTTTCGAGCGATTCATTTGCTTTTAAAGTGCGATTTATCGATCATAATACAGGAGAGTGAAACATTGGGCTTCCTGTCTCATCTTCTTTATCCGCAGAAGATCCAATGAAATCTTGATTTTCAACGTACGAACGATGACTGCGATTCATGATGTCTTTTCACATGGATTGTTTTCTCTTCTCCTCTCTTATTCCGTTTAATATTTACAAACATGTTAATTAGTGGATTTATTATTATGCGTTTTTGGCCGATAAATTTATGGATTCCATTTTGAGAAAAAAAAAATATGCATCGGCTGGGAGAGAACACACAATAATAGCCCCATAGTCATAAAATGAAGAAGGCCAACAACAATAAAAAAAGGAAGAAGAAGAAGAAGAAGAAAAAGATAAATAAAACGTCCTGAACAGCAAATCAGAGGCACTCACTTCCAGGCAAAAAAAAAAATCTGAAATGGGCACCAAAATAAGATCATCTTGTCTCTCACAAGTAAAGGGTTTCAATCGTTTTGCCGAGCCTCAAATCGTTTGTATGAGTATAGCCGTCGTTTGTTTTTCGTTGTCGTCATCCAAACAAATTCAGTTATTAAAAGTTATTTTACTTATTTTTCTCTACCTCGTCGCTCCTCTCTTCATTCATCGTCATCGGTCGCGCTGTTGCTATTGTGTCAAATGTCTGGCGATCAGCTTATGATGGCGACACACTTATGTGTGAACATAAACGACAACACCAGCACTTACGCCAGCATATTATTTTAATTATATTAACACGATCGAACGGTCTGCGATCACATCAAAGGAAGGGAGAGAAAAAAACAACAACGAACAATAATAATAAAAGAACATACTGAAAATGAACAACACACATAAAATTACCGTACGCATCATGATAATATCATTCGCCTTGTTTGTTTATACATATGCGTACTAAGAGCGAGAGAGAGAGCGAGAGAGAGAGCGAGAGAAGAAGAGCATTAGTTAAATGGCTTTTCCTCGGTCGCGCTCGTGGTTCACTGTGAAACGTGTGTAAATGCGGATCGCGACAACAAACGATGGAACAAAAAATATTTATATACATTTTTCCATTTAACTAAATCAATGCGTATGACTTTTATATGATCATTGATCACATTAATTTTCTCGGCTTCATTGGAAAGGAGCGACGAAGCTGCTGCCGATAAATTCAGCCCAAATGAAAGCAACCAATTTTCAAAAGATAAAATGTAATGGACGAAAAGAAAGAAGGCGAAGAAAAAAACATACCAGTATCGTCGTTCTCTTTGGATTTTCTCCCCATTGCCACATTGGTTGCATTAAAATACCGATCGAAATGGTGTGCGCATTAAAACTGTACTTATCATCTGCTTGGATTTGAATGTCCCAGTGTATGCGCAACGATGTTTTCATTTCAACTTCTCTTTTTGTTGTTGTTGTTTGGAATTCTTTGATAGCGAATGGAGGTCTGACTACTTTGTAATGTGTCAAACGATATCTCTCTCACTCTCTCTCTCTCTCTTTGGTGATTTTTTTCTTCTTCAAATGTTTGCTAGACGCAATCACATACACGCAGGTATTTAATGCGTTATCAGCTATTACATTGTGTCTGCAATCGTTTTGAATTGCTTGCAGGATTTCGATAGCTATCGACCATCGTCAGTCAGTCCTTCCAATTCGATTCACTGTCTTATATCTCTATCTCTTCTACTTTAATTATTATTTTTTATCAACTACTTCTTCTTTTTTCACTTTTGCTGTGCACTGATATTGATATTGAGTGGGATTTAGCTTCGGGTTTTGGCGCCAATCGTCTCTTTTTTTCCGTCGATTATTTTAATGTATTTCATTGTTTTTTTTTTTTAATTCTTGAATCATGAACTCAATTAATCGATTTGCTTCTTTGCCTGGTTGTACAAACACACGAAAAATTTATCATATTCATCGAGGTTTTTCTGTTCGATTTCGTTTTTTTTTTACTACTTAAATCTTTTAAATGATCACAGAAAATTAAATTTTCCTCCATAAGACAAAATGAAAACCCAAGCAATAAATCAACGCTGTGATTTTTGTATTCATGCATTTTGACACAAAAGAACGCAACTATGCGATAACGAAAAAAAGAAGAAGAAAATGAAAACAAAATTGTGTATACACAATTTTCTCGACAGCCTTGAGGGCACACTCTGAGGCGAATGCATTAAAATGCAGACTTTGAAATCCGGATTTTGAATTTGTGTACTCTATATGTTCGTTCAACCATTCGATTTTATTGCTTCCTTTGGCTTTGCAAGTACGTATAGACCGAAAACTCCATCCAAATCAATTGTTTGAAGAAATCGTTTGAAAAGAGCGCCAGAACATTTTTTAGCTCCGAAAATTGTCTTCAATGTTTGCCATTTTCGAGTAGCACATCATCAATCATTTTCCAATAACACATCATAATACTGTTGCGTGTGTTTTATTTTTCTCGCTCCCATGCATCAATGCTGCAGAATACAAACAAACCAGAGAAGAAAAAGAAATAAAGTCATAAATCTACTTACATCCATGTTGGTACGCCTTGCAGTACACCATGCACCTCATTTCCATTGTGTGCAATGAGTGTAATTATGAGCAGTGCAACGATTATATTGTTGCAACGTTGTTTGTTCTTCCAACGCGTCCAAACTTCCATGGTTTCCCTATCTCGTTTTATATATCTCGCTGTCGCTGGGCAACTTTCCCGAAGTTTGCGGTTGTTGTTTTCTCTCCGTCTTTTTGTCGATAGCTTAACTTTCAAGTTGATACGAAATAATTGTTTTGTTAGCTTTTCTCTTGTCTTACTCGTTTATTCAATGCCGTATCGTCCTTTATCGTAACGGAAAAGTCATCATTTCAATCACAATTGTTTATTTTTCGTTTCACTTAATTCTCTTTTTTCTCCGTATTTCGCGTTGTCTTCAATGTTTCTTCCTCGTTTTTTTTTTGTTTTATGTTTTTTTTTGGGTTTAGCTTTCACAGAAATACACACTTTTTTTTTGTTACTCTAATTCGGTTTTTCCTTCATTTGATTTCAACTGAATTTAGCGAACGAAAGTCATCACTGGTTTGAAAAATTGAACAAAAAACTTTTTCCACTTTGTGTTACTTTATTCGTTGTGTTTTTTTCTTCTCTCATCTACTTGTTTCATTCGCTGTGCGGATTGAAATTGATATGGCTTGTCATCGAAGTAAGTTCATTGACTACAACTGGTGGGGTGAAAATCTATATGCACTCATCGGATGTACGGTGGAATCAAGTGCCATTGCAATCACACGATGCACGTTCATCGAAAAAAAAAATAAGAATTCGCTTACATGGATAACTTTTGTTTAGTTTTTTTTTGTTCTCGTTCTCCGGTCCTGAAAAGAGAATAAGAAGAAAGACGGAATTGAATGAACGTAAACTGGAAATGTTGGGGGAAATTGTGTCGTTTAGTTGTGTGTGTTTTTTTTTTCTTCATTTTTCACTAGTTATATGTGGTTTGTGAATTAGAAAAAAGTCCTTCAAAAGGTTACGCGTGATAAATTGGCCAAATTACACATAATATATATTCCGTGACATTGTTTTTGTTGTTGTTGTCGTTTTCATACTGGAGAAACGATGGTTCCATCGCTTGAAAAATATTAATGAAAAATTTTGTGCTTTGAACAGTCTTGGCTTGAGCACAATGCTTCTTGACTTTGTTCCAGCCAAAAAGAGGTATTTCGAGAGATTCGAGCAAAAACATGAATAATCTGTGCATCTTTGCTTTTTGACTTGCATTTGGTCCATTCGCAAACATCACACATACACACAACTTTTGTCAGTAAAAATGATATTTGATTAGTGTTGTAAGTGAGTTTTGGGTTGGTGCATGTTATTCTCAAAAGGCACCAAATGGTATCATGATGATGATCTCAAGGAGAAAGAAGGACGCGCCAAATGAACGGACAAGTGTTTGACATGTTCGGATATATTGGCGTTGGCGAGTGATGATTCACAACAGTCAGACGAACACAAGACGAGATGTCAATGATAATGATCAAATAGATTTTTTTGCAGCGATTACAGCAAATTTCAGTTGGAATGGTTTTATGGGCAAAGAAAAAAAAACTTTGGGATCAAAGAATCCGATGCAAATGATTTGGCAAACATTTTGGCTGAAAACAAAAAGCTATTCAATTCGATGTTAAACCATTTGAGGATATTTTGTTTTCCTTTTCTTATTTTTTTGAATTAATACACAGCAAAATCTTGATGATATATACAAAAGAGAGTACCGGCCCGCAAGCGGTAAACGCATTGAATGAACAAAGAAGTAAAATGGGAAAAAAGCATATGGATAAACAAATAATATAATATCTGTGTGCTTCGTTGCTGAGTGACAATCAAGAAGCTGTGTGTATGTCCCCGCGCTCAACCGAGAATAGTTGAAGCTGCTTGTTCGCTTCCATGGTTTTTCGATGAATAGAAAATGCTATTTTACCAAAACATTTATTAGCATCATCATTTTGTCGGTTAATGGAATTAAAAACCTCTCTCTTGTTCCCTTCGCAGAGAGCAACAGCAATAGCAGCACCGGCAGCCAGTAGTAGTAGCAGCAATAGCATCGTGCTTTTACATGGATTTTTGTTTTATTTTTATCATTTTTACCGAGAACAGATAGAAAAGCCATAAAAACGAAAATTATTTCTCTTGCAACAAAGACCAGCTCAAGAATCACAAAAGAAAATCACTGTACGTGAAATTATCGCTGTCTTCTTTGCTCCCCTCTCGATGGTCTGTCTCTCATTTATTTTTTTTTTGGTTCGAGCGTTGCTGAAATGTGAGGGATTCCACATCGTATACAATTTTCATCTCTGTTCCATTCCAAATCATTTGACCGCCATGTCAAAAGTCGTAAAAAAAGCAACAATACCGTGCGTGTGTGTTACTGTCTTTTATTTAGATGAAAAAAAAAAAAATAAATGCGTTGAGGCGGTCGCTACTTTACAATTTTAGACTGCACCTCAGCTTAGTTTGCGTTTCAATAGATAAGCAGCACCGATGTGTATTTCTGTTCCACCGGCCACAACTCAACTGTACAGCCACCACAGTGCAACTGGATATTTTACAATGATTTGGCTCAATGACTATTTACACTCTTCCATCATCATTGCCCATCATTGCCGTCGTCGTCGTCGTCATCGTCATCTTTTTTTCACGAAAAGTATGGTTTTCTCTTCCTTCTCTCCCGTCAGTTTAAGTTAGTAGTTGCTGCTGCTTCTAAATCACCAAACACAAATTGAATGTGATAAAAAGCAGCGCCAAGAGTGAAAATGCAGAGATTGAAAGGTATTAACATCATTTTCTGGCTAAATGAAATGACAAAAGAGCGAGAGACACAAGCTCGAAATGAAATCGATCACACGACGACGACGACACACATTGAATATGATGATGCTTTTGATGTCATTCGCCCTATTCTTTGTCCATATTCGGTTGGAACAAAAAGAAGTCTTTTAGTTTACTATGAGCTATTTCTCGTTTATTAGCCGGGATTATTGAAGGATGGCACATTGTTTTGTTTGGTTTTTCTGTGTGTCTACTTGTGGTTGACGAGACGGAAAACTATTTTCACTTCATCACAAAATAAATCACACGGCCAGCGGCGTATTCAAATGTGAAAATGCAACAAAAGGCGGGTTTCCAAGTCAAAAACCTTACTTCAATTAGTCAGATGGCCATTACACTACTCGATTTGTTTGTTTGTTCCTTCTTTAGACTGATTCATCTTCATTTTAGAGCTACAGAATTGAAGCGTTCTAATTGAACAGTTTGCAATTGCATCACATGTAAACGACCCGATGATTGCTAGATTTTTTTTTACATCAAACGCTCGCAATCAATTGTGCTGATTACTTTAGTCAGTTATTTGCTATTGTGATCAAATTTACTCCATAATGCACATAAGTATCCGCAATAATAATCCAAGATGTCGTATTTCTTATAAGCAACGCACACACATGCTTTGCATCGCAATTCTCAAACGATTTAATGAATACGAGAGTAAGAGAGAGAGAGAGAGAGAGAGAGAGAGAGAGAGAAAAACAACGAAGAACGATTCAACAATAGTACGCATTATGCACATTTGCATGCAACACTGAATTCACATTCACGATTTTGATCTGATTTAAATATTCGGCCGTTTCAATGTGTGTATGTGTGTTTTTACCCAAAGCGCAAATCTTATGCATAACTTCAATTTAATAGCACGCAATTTTTCTTTTCCTTTGCATGAACGAGCGCATAGATCTCTTGACAGGCAACCGAATCTCTGCCCTAAAAAAAAAATCGGAACAAAAGGAGGAGAAAAAAAATCAAGTTGTGCCAGAGCCGATGAACAGTGTCAGCAGTCATGTCATGTTATTTAGATGATATCACCATATAATTGTACAAATTAAACTGCCATACGGTATACAGAGATAAAGAAAGAGAGAGAAAAATCGCATTTACTTCCTCTCTCTCACTCACTCCACAATGAACAAAAAATGAAATCAATCTAATTATGCTCTTGGGATCAAAATCGACATTCACACAAAAAAAAAGGATCGGAAAAGTACAATATGCCAACCCTCATACGGATCAATTACTTGGGCTCATTTACAGTATTTAACGATTTATTATACGAAGCATGGAAAAAAAAACTGTAAAATGTAATTTTCTTGTTGAATAAAGTTTTCGATTTTTTTTTCAATTGTCGAAATGAACAGCCAAAGTATGGGCAAAAAAAAACTTTGCACAAAGTAACAATGCAAGTAGCATTGTTCCACATTTTTAATACCCCTCGAACGTCAACAATGGAAATCGTGTTCTCTTTCTCTCTCTCTCTCTCTCTCTCTCTCTCTCTCTCATTTCCAATGAATAAACGGAAATGTTGAAAATTTAATCGCATTTTGAAAAACTCCAGCTTTTGTTGACAGCTACAAACATTTTGCTGTGATTTCAATGAGTGCATGTTTCTTTTTAAATCTGGCTAATCTTGATTACACATTCGACAAAAAGCAACGTAAATAAAGTCAAATGGAAAAGAAGGGAAAAAAAATCGTTTGTGTTATTTCCTTTCAAATTGGGCCGTTGCAAGATACGGTTTGTTTATTTTCCATTTTTGGCTATTTATTTCTCTTGATGTGTGAATGGGATCGTTAAATTATTTCCACCTCAGAAAATTGGTTTGATCATCCTATGGACGAAAATGACCGTTCGCATTTCTACGTTCTCTTGATATTTATGATTTTTCAAAATATTTATGCACTTTTTGTGCGGCCAAAATGCTTTCACACTACATTTCATCCAGATGCGCATCGTCAGAGAAGCGTTCACATATTTACAAATTGCCAGCGAACGTTTCTTTCTCAAAGCTATTCCCCGAAGATAGAGTTTTTACGTCGAAATGAAAATAGTGTGCGTTGGAAAACGGATATTTTACATAGTTTTCGGTGATGCACTTAGTTCAATCGTGAATTATTAAAATTCTAATTTATATGGAATACGATGAATTATGCACAATACATATTTGATAAGTGCATATAGCATCAAAGTACTTTTCTCCCAACTCGATGATGATGATTGTTCGGCGTGTGGGTTGAACGCTAGAATATTATTTAAATGGAGGGTTTTTGGTGGTTGCAATTCTATTTGCAAAAAATTAATACCTCTCGAAAACAAAAGCTGCTCATTTGATAAGGGACCAACAACACTCATTCCCTTGCACGCTTTCACGCTCATTCATTCGCTTTTGCTCAGCGATATGATTGTTTTTGTTGCGGTGGTGAGATACTGGAAATTAATGTGGTTCTCAGATGTGTTTGGCATCGAAACGCTCGCACCGTATATGATGCACGTACTGATGAATGTTAAATTGTTAATGCCTAGCACAGAACAAAGGATACTATTTATCAACATTATTACAAGCGATTACGTTCATCACACAACACATTCACAACCCGAAATTGTAACTCTCTGTACGCGCGCTAGCTCACTCTCACATTGGTTCGGGTAAATTTGCATGCATTTTTAAAATGGTTCCTGTGTGTGTTTGTGTGTTTGCGTAGTTTGAACCGTTTAAAGTGTGCAATTCAAAATATTTGGGATATCAAGGGTACCGTATTGTGTGCGGAACAGAATAAAAGAAGAAAAATGACAGACGATTTGCGTATGAATTTGCGGCCCAAAATATGGAAATAAATGAGCGATGCCCGACAAGAGAATGCGAGAGAATGGGAGAGAGAGAGAGATCCTAGACGCAAGTCAACACCATTCAAATACCTAATTACAAACAATTAGTTAGCCCAGTAAAAAAAACACATTGAAACCTATTTGTGGATTTTGAATGAATGTGGTGATTGCGATATCGTGTGGCGCACAAATAATAATACGAATAACTACCAATTTACAGTACGCATAAATGTTAAGGACTTTTTTCTCTCGCTCTCTCTCACTCCGTTTCTTTTTTCTAGTTCTTCTTCTGAAGAAACACTTTTGTTACGCCACATAAACGGCAGCGCACATTTATCAATTCCGTACGATCGCAATCGTCTTGCCAATGATCTCGATACGATTGCGTATTTGGATTTATTCACAAAAATGAAATGGAAGAAAGCGGAGCAAATCAAATGGTAGAAAAGTCGAGTCGACACATACCTTGGATAAATTAATATTTATGAAACGAACCCTTTGATCTTGATCTATGATATTTTTGGCTATTGCAACCAAGTGTTTCGTTTCGCTTGAGTCTCAATGGTGACACATTTTACGACTTTACGTCTAATTTTGAAGTTCTTGCTGTTGTTTTTTCGGTTCGATCGTTGTTGTTGTTGTTGTCTTTTTCATTCCATCGTCATTACACACGGAGCAGACGACGCAATGCTGTCTTTGGATACTCAATTGGCAATGGCAAAATGGTGTATGTGTGATGATTTCGGCGACGGCACAAATTAACTTGAAAAATTTTCTATGCTTCGTCTCCCTCTCTTGGTTGACTGTAAATTTGTCACTTCAGACGACTACTGTTTCTCGATATATATATATATATTTTGAAGGATGTTTTCACATGCGACTTATATCTTTTCTCATCAACACAAACACGTTATCACTTATGCGTAACTGAAAAAAAGCGCACATCACTTCGGTTCGTCTAGCCAGTTTGGTTCGTCTGTATGAACAACGAATAATCGTAAATTTCAAACAAACAGTTGCACCACACACGCAAACACTCTCACTCTTATTCGCTTACAAAATATTGTTCGATCCGTGTAATTTTGCTGAATACGTACACTACGGCTTTGAATGATTTCAAAAGAAGAGCAAAAAAAATGCGCGCGACTATGAACAACTCAACGGTTGAGAATTTTTGAATTCTGCTTCGACTCGTTACGATCCGTGCACGGCGACGATTAAACGTTGTCTCACTCTCTGATCTTTTTTTTTATTTGCATTTCATTTTTTTCTACAATTTGATGCTTTTTTTTCTTTCGCTCTTTCTATCTATTCTTGCTAAGAACAATTTATGCGAACATTAAGAAAAAGCAGAAGAGGAAGAGATGAACAAAATAGGATGATCAAATCGTTTCCTAATGCAAACTGATATTTGATTGCTTAATTAAATTTTCTAGTTCTGCTGATGCTCCAGAATTAATTAAAAAGAGAGTCGGCAAACGGCAGCAGCAATTCCATGCAATGTAATTGAAATGATCTTGAACCTGTTTATTTACACAATTCGATAAAGATTTGCATCGGTTTGCATTGATGTGTGTGAGAGAGAGAATGAAGAGTGTTTTTAAGCCGTGTGATCAAAACAAAATATGCTTTTGTTTACAGAGATTATGTTGTTTAGTTTGTGTACTTTTTTGAAAATTAAGCAAATAGTTTAACGATGAGCTAATCGAATGTCGAACGAATGGATGGTCGATCTCGAAATTGTCGATTCCTCTAACACTGTGCTAGTTTATTATTTTTTTCTTCTATTTTTCTGTTATTCCATTTGAATTTCTTGCCACTGAGATTTCAATTTTGTTTTTTAACTTCATTAATTCATTTTCGAAACACGTTTACATGTGCAACTCATACACAATTCACTGCGCTTAAAGCATCTCACGCTCTTGCTCCTTCACTGGCTGTCTCTCTGTGTGTATATACCACAACCGTTCGTCACGAATGTTTGTAAACAACTGAATTTAGTTTAGTTACCGTCGTCGATTGTTAGCTGAGAGCGGTCTCTTCATAGGTTCTTTTTCTGCTTGGTGGTTGCTCTATACATTGTCTGTGTGCTGTCTGTTTTACGCACTGCTGCACGGTTGTTGTGTGTTGCGTTGCATGTGCCTATGGATGTATGAATGGAGTGTACGGTAGGGAAACGACGTGTGTTTCTTGTCGTCGTCGTCGTTGTTGTTGTCGTCATCGTGGTTCTCGTCCTGCAATTTTTTTTTTCTGAAGCACTTTGATGCTTGTACAAGAGAGGCGAAAATGCATTTTACCTTTTTTTTCTCAAATAGTGATGGCATTTTCGGTGGTGTATATGTGCTTTCGGGAAAGATGAAAGGACAACCTTGATGCTGAATGCTGATACTCTTATTCGGCTCTTGTGGTTGTCAATGAAGAAAAAGGGTGAATTGGCAAACAATATAGAATGTGTTGAAGTGACACTATTGAAAGCGACTATTTTGTGTCGAACAAGTGGTGTGTGCTGTGCAACTTTGTATCAAATGTGATCATCGAATTCGAAATGAATATAAGCACCGGTGTAATGAAACACTAGAATGGATTATGGTGTATGATTCGCCAAGGTATTTTTTTTTATCTCGTTTTTCTTTTCAAAAAGCACTAACATTATTCCATCGATCGCATCATGTGTAACAAATCTCGGCGGTATCGAGATCGAATAGCCAACATATATTAGACAGGGGGCCCAATTTTCACCCATTGATAGCGGCATTTTTTTCAAAGATCAAACGATGATCAAACACACACACACACACACACACACACACACGAGAGAAAGAAAAGATACACACATTAACAGATTATTACAAGAGTCTATCTGACAAAATAATGTCTATAATCTGGTCGAGATTTTTTTCTTTATCTAAGTTCTGAGGCTCAGCGCGCCATTCAGGAAAGGGAATCTATAAAGAAAAAGCAGAGACTTGTTTCGTATCAATTTTTTTGATCATCGTATGTGTGTGTGTTTTTTTTTATGTCATCAGAGATGACAACCGTGCACACACATGGACGAATTCGACAAGTCGATGAAAAGCCATCATCGAAGTAAATATTTATCTATTGTTTGAGCAAAGTCTATTGATGGCTCTCTTTCGTGTCGACTTTTTTTTTCTCTTCATTTCGGCAACGCTCAAGCAAACGTTTTGAATATACATATCGAACCGTATATTTAATGAGATAATAATAACAATGAAGTGCAGCATAAAATAAAATAATAAGGTAAAGAGACGAAGACGAAAAAAGAAAAAAAAATCTTTACACCATTTCCAGAAAAAGAAGTTTTTTTTATAGAAGAGAAAGAGATAACAAAGAAAGGAGAACGGCGTAATGATAATAATGATATTGCGGTAAAAGTACAAAGTGATTGTGCTAGGCGCGCGTAATGTCAATACATCATAGCAATGGACACGTTGCTGTTGCCGGTTGAAGGTTGATCTGCCAATGCAATGCAACGAAAGCACATCGTCGCATATGTGTTTCATTGGAAGAGTGAGAGACAGAAAGGAAGAAGTGTTTCACGGTTGCTCGGCCAAAATGAGCCAAATAGATAGAAAAAACAACAACAACAACAACAATAACAACACAACAACCCGAGAAAAAAAAAACAGAAAAATGAACATGTGAATTTGAAGCGAGAAACAAAAAAAGAGCGCACGAAGATAAACTGCCGAAATGAATAAACCAATGTTTTGGAAATGGTTCTTTTCACACACACATACTTGAAAAAGAGCCGAGAAAACGCAATTTGACTGCAATTCATGGTGCGTACACTCATGAAAAACGAGCCGACTCTCTGGCCGACCATTGAGGACACATAGATATCGCTTGCTTTTCACTTTTATTCTACTGCTCTCTACCTCGGATTCGTTCTTTATTTTCTCTTCTCCTTCTCTATCCTTTATGTTCATGATCCAAAACGATCCCTGTAATTACCTTTTTTTTTCTACCATGGCTTTTGTTTTGCTTCTGTACTCAACTTCCTTCATGCATAAATGGCATTTTTGGCGGTCATGCACACAGTGTCTCTCTCTCTTTCTCTCTATTCTCTTTCGCTTTGTCTCGAAAAATTTGAATTTCGGTTGAAAACCACCAAACACTACAATTGCATCTATAAGTGAATGCAGATTGAATGCATTACAATTGTGTCGCATTTCAATTTTCGATGCAATTGTAAGAAGATCGAAATGACCAACAAAACAAGAATGGGACGATGATTGATACGGATTCATTTTCCCACTCTTTGATTTTTTTTTCCTTTCAAATTCGTTTATTCATTCGTTCACGTTTGCCTTCAAATAGCACGCCTGGTGCGCACGGTATAAATGCGTTTACTATTCATCATTCGTAGCCCGACATTATGCATAACGATTTATAAAAGGAGGTGGGACTTAAAGTAACAACTAAAGCATAAAACACATCGTCTTATTATCTTATTCGTGCTTGGTGTTTTTAGTCGTTGTCTCTCTTCGTGTTGTTGTCGTCGTCGTCGTCGTCGTCGTCGTCGTTGTTGTCATCTTTAACTCTATCATCTGTTAACAGCCGTGGTGATATTTCATTTGGATGCAGGCAGGTTTTTGATTTACGTTCAACTCGTACACAATATTGAATTCAGTGTTTCAATATCAGTGTCACTGACTGAGGATAATATCGTCTCTCACTTTGAAAATCTTCTTTTCAATACTTATTGGAAACATCATCAATGGATCAACACCAACATTCAGACAAATGAATTCCATTCGCATCCATTCCACTGCACTCTCATTCTAATCGTAACACATAAAGTACCCCATTTAGCTTTTAATTCATAATCGGATCATGACGTAATAACACTCTTCACAACCGAATTTTTCATTCTTCTGATCCGCTGAATCGTAAGCATCTTGGAATATGGATCGATATTTCTTCTCGAATAGCAGTTACAATTCTGAGACACTTTAATTCCTTTAAATGAGTCTCAAACTATGACAAACATTTCAAGACGCTATTTATATGCTTTCAACCAAAATTTCTAAGTATCGCTTAACACTTCTGCACGAAAAACACCCTTGTTTTCATTTGTTGAAACATATTTCAGTTGATTACTTGGACACTTTTTTGCACATCGATTCCACAGTGGGGACACAACTTGAGATGAAAGTATTGCAGCAAGTATCCTTGCTAGGTTCTGCAAAGTATGCGTTCGGTTATCGGTTAATTTTATTAACGCAGTTTACTTTTTTGCTTATCGAAGTTTTGTAAAGTTATTTGAATCAATATCTCGACCACTAATGCCTTATTATTTACAGTTAATACGTAGCCAGCGTAAAATTAAACAACTCACCTAAACATATCAACCCCAAGAATCTGCTTCACTTCACTTCATTGTTTACAATCACTTTTTGATAACAAAAATTTACGATTTCGTTTGATTGTTGTTTCAAATGGCTACAAAATATCGAAACATTCCTCCATTGTAAATTCTTTATTTTCAAAGAACATCAGATGACATGTGGATTGAGTAGCAGTATGAATTTGTTATGGTGTCCAATTCAATACTGTACAAACACAGGGAAGAATGGTTGAGATTTTTGGTACAATAGATTTTTTTCGTAAAAATAATCCAAAATTAAGATATCTAAGGCAAAATTCATTTTTTCAGACAAAATTTGTATTTGTACCAAAAATCTCAACCATTTTTCCCTGTGTGTACTTATTCTCATAAAATGACTTCATCTAGCTCAACTAATTGACCATTAAGCATCCTTGGTAATAGGAGATCGGTTTTAAATCGGATCCAAAATTTCAAAATTCATCTTGCAAAAACAATTACCCTCACTTAGGATTTTCCATCTTGCCATCACCTGTTTATTAAGTTTATTTGTCTTATCAGCAATTCGAATGTTCTGAAACAATAGTTTTCTAAAGAATTTTTTGCAAAAAATCGTAACACGATGAAAATGAGACAGAATATCCCTATTGATGTTGAAAAAATTGCATCTCATTTTCATCATGCTACGTTGATCCACTACATAGAATTTCTACGAAATCGGAGTTCCAAAAACAGCAATACGAAAACCAATCATGAACGATTTTTCTTCAAATGTTGCGTTCATTTTTCATTATTTGCGAACAAATCCGCTTGATTATTGATTGCAAAGGGGGAGAAACATGTTTCATTCGAAAATCAGAAATTTTCCTTTGATATTTCATCAAAATGTTACGTGCATAGTTTTTTTTTAAATGGTTTGATTTGTTCAAAATGTGTCTATTCGTGAGTATTTTAAAGATCATTCCGTTGATCCTTCAGAACTCATATTATAAACGCTTGAGCATCTTTTCGAATAAGCAACACCCTTTGATTAGGTAATATCTTTGAATATGCTTTAAGGCATATTTCACATCATCGTAAATATGTTGTTCGAGATGAATGTGTTGATTTTACCCGTCTTAGGAAATGTCGTGAGTCAGCCATCTATTGGCTTTTATTCTAACTACAATCGAAGTGAGCAAACAGACGTTACTCTGCAAAGCACCGCTTGACAAAGCTGCTTGTAAAAAATTTATTCCTAGTTCTAGAAAGCTCGGGAACAATAAAAAAATATCTCAAGATCATCAAGTGTTGGGTTAGGAAATGTGGGATATGTTTTGAGAAAAAGCAAATATGTGTGGACAATGATTGAAAATGGGTTTATACCTAAGGAATATTGTAAATGATGAGATGCTGTGATCGTTCACTTTTTTACTAGCGGCAAACCACTTAGGCATCTTTTCTACGTGCATTAACCCCATTGTAAGACATTGATTTGGTACTAAAAATGTATATCATTTACGTCATGGCCACCAAAGCAGCAATTACACAATCTAATTGCTTTTTCAGATTGAATAAATATACCACTGAAAATTGCAGTAACAAATTAAAAACTCTAAGTTAAGTAAATAAAAATCATTGTTTTGAGATGGTTTTGCCAATGGGTAAATGCCTATGACGACGTAATTACATGACCCGAAAAAATACTCACTGTTTTGCTGGTCATATAACCAGTTCATTATACTTTTAAAGGCAATGCAAATGAAGTGAAGTCTCAGTTTTCGAATAAATATATCAAACTGAAATGGAACCAAGAAACATTCAGACAGGGTTTAAATGAAGAAAAAAAAATGATTCAAGTCGAGCAGATGGATTCGATGGATATTTCTTCATTTTCTAAATTTTACGAGATTACAAAATCTAATGTCGCATCAAGTTAATGATAGTAAACAATAGTTTAAAAAAAATAAATATCAATAAAAAAAAAGAATTGAATTCATTCTCATTTAATATGTTTTGTTTATGCACTTTTACATGTTTCGCATGTATTTTGCATGTATACTCTGTGTGAGAATTTCGTGTATTGATGTAGAAAAATCACATTTAGGTATAAGTTTAGCGTTTGAATTAAAAGAATCAATGGATACGCTGCAAAAGCGGTTCAGACATTGTTTTCTTATTCATTTCTATCCATAGACGACAATTCGGTGAAAACCACGTCAAAAATTCGCAACTATTTTATTATTAATTGTTTTCTTCTCTGTTGTGTCCAAATTCTCATTATGAATTTGTTCCATATTTTTGTTGTGTTTTCTTTTAATTTTTCATTTGTCTTGACATTATTGTGTAAATATCATTGTTCCAATTTCCCCGAAAAAAAATAATGGATCAATTAATTGTTTCGTTCTTGTCTTTTGCTGCGCAGCCTTTGTACAGTCAGCGGAAGAATAGTCGGTAAAATAGATAAATTAGCTAGAATAGATAAGTGTTTTTTGTTTTGTTTGTTGTTGTTGTTACGATGACAAATGAACAAACAGAATAACGTTCAAGGGACGATAAAACAGATAAAACAAATGAAAAAATGTAGAGGAAAAAGAGAGCTCCGAATTCGATCAATCGCCAATCCCAGCAATGTATGTGATTCACTCGAACTCGAGAATTTTCTTGTGATAGAACAACATGTATCTGAAAGATCAAGAGAAAAAAAAACAAGATGAATAACATTGAAATGTGGATCGCAATGTTTGGCCAAATGAATGTGATAAAATGTTCGGCAACTCACCCTTCGCTATCTAATACTTGTTTTAGTGTAGCCAACGTAATAATATGATCATCACATTTAACCCAGACATCTTTGTGATGCCGAACATAGGCGGTGTAGTGACCAATATCGAGTGATCCAATGTGATTTATGACGGCATACAGTGAGTATCGGCAATCACCGCTGCGATCGTCAATGCGTTGCGCCATAAACGGTGTCATATCCAATTCGGACGGAAATGAAATAAACGTTGAAATTTTCTTATTCACTGAACTGGAATGTTCGAAACGTTTCAAATGGAAACTGGCCACAATTGGCAGCGTACGCATTGACAATTGTTTCGTTGATTCTTGATACGTTTTGCATGAGGAGCATTTAATTTTGGCGCTTGAACCGAGATGTTCGGCGCGTGTAAAACGTTCAAGGCAGTCAATTAACGATTTTGGTGGGCCACAACCCTGTTGTACTTCGCCCAAATCAAGCGATATATCCCAGAATGGATCGATCGTTGTCGATACACCCTGACACGATTGACACACCACATCACTCTGTAATCGTCCCGTAAATATTTGATCGATAATGCAACTACATTTGGTCGGATTGTTCGTTGCCAATCCGTCACGTTTGTCTTTCTCTTTTTCACTGGCAGTCTGTGCATTTTTACAATGATGATGCAATATATCGAGTGTGGCGATAAAAAATTCATGGGCATCTTGTTGCTCATAGCCGGCTAAATGTCGTGCATGATTCCAAATTAAATGTAACAAACGATGCAACGAAATCGGACCTTTGGCGCCCGAATAAAATTCCTGAAATAGACGCGATATTTCGCATACCAAACATCTGGCCGACATTTTTGGTGAGCACTCATGCCGTTCCGATATAAAATAACGATGAAGTAATGGTGTATGAATAAGCGCTTGAAAAATGCAGTTCATGAAACAGGTGGAGCCCAAATTCAGTAAGCCACGCAAACCGATCGTTGTCAATGAGCTCATGTATCGCCGTCGTGGATACTGAAGTAATGCATCGATGCTATTGCTAGTTGTTGTCCATGGTCGCCATGAAATGCTTTTATTTAAACTCCTATTCGAATGCGAAAGAAATGTTTTTGAAAAACAAATAGAGTCAGCACATTGCGAGAGAAGTAGGCGAAATTGACGAAAACATCTCATATTTTACCTGGCTTCTTTTCGTAAGTGTTTCTCTGCCATTGCATAACATTCGGGATCGTAAACAAAGTCACGGCACGCATGACAATAGATCATACCAAAGCCTAGTTCAAGTGCAATATTGTGTCGTTTTGTTTCCAAGTGTTCCATTATGTGTGGGCCTCTGCATCCAAAGTGTATACAGTGCAGACAGGAATAGAGCTGCGGTCCAGAGCTACCGCATGTGTAACATAAACATGATAATGCCTAAAACGAAATTACATTGTACATTGACGTTAAAGTGATACACAGTTCGAAATGCAGCAAGTAAATAAGCCAGGGCACAATAAATGTAGACTTGATTCGATTGGGCTCATTTTTACGAATTGCGAGTTATGAGATGTGACTCCGAATTTTAACTTTTCACATCGCACATAATCTCAGTCAGCCAAGAGTACGCCACCATACAAATAAAGTTGGATATTGCAAAGATCGTACTCACCTTTTGTCGTCGCGCCTCTTGCGATACGCACGTACTGAATATTCCATGGATGACATTGAAAGCAGTTGGTCCAAATTCTTTAAAGTACTCGCTAAAATGTTCGCATGAAGCGTTCATAATTTATGTATCTTATGCTTGCCTCCTTGATTCTGTCGTTTATCTAGTATCAATTTCAGTCGATGTGATTCTCTTGGATCTAATGAATTGTGTTGTTTGCAATCAGTGCCTTGTCGTTCATTCGATTCACCTTGTGGTCCGTAATTTTTTTTTAAATAAAAGAAAAACAATGTGAGGATTTCGATCCCTCGAAAATAACACGTTCAGTCGATCGAGTCCGATTCTGGTGGCGTTTTTCTTTTCTCTTGTGTTTTTTTTCTCGTCGTCGTCCCGAAGTTCTTCTTCTTGTGTCGGAGAAAAAAAGGTTCTACTCATTCGTCCCTTTTGATAGACAACACACACATACAATCATTTACACACTGTTTTTTTTTTCAATTTAGTTTCCGTCGACGCAAAAAATTGCTCTCGCTTTTTTTTCTCTTCGTTCATATGTATATATGAAAATGCACACAGAAACGAAGAAAAAATTATGTACTCCGTTGAACTTCGATGGTGGAATGAAATATACACAATTGATTTTCTTTCTCTTCTCTACAGTTCTCGTCTGTGTTCTTCTGCGGTCTGCTGTTAATGGTACTGCTCGTTTTTATTCTCTCTCTCTCTCTCTCTCTCTCTCTCTCTCTCTTTCTCCTTCTCTCTTTTCTTTCCTGTCTTTCTTTCGTTTTCACTGCTTAGCTCTCTTGTGGCTCTGATGTCTTCACGCGAGACAAAAGTGAGTGAGCGTGAACGCAGTCCGAAATATTGACAGATGAAAATTCAAACAACCGAACGTATACAGAGAAAGAGAGTGAGAGAAAAAGAAACACACTCAATTTCAAAAAACACACAACATCCATTGAAAATTCACGCATTCAACACTGTACTGTGTTCCGTTGCGTGTGTGTGTGTGTGTGTGTGTGTGTTGTACGAGTCAAGTTTGTGTGTGCATACTACATTGAATCAGCGGCCACTCAGCTGTTTTGTAAAACGCGTTGTGTGCCTCTTGCACACGATTCTGACAATTCGGTTTGCCGTATGCATGTGTATTGGTGTACACAGGCACTTGGTGTCGCGACTTCGATCTGTATGATACGTCACAGGCATACAACGCCACATACAACGTTTCGGCATTTATATCGTTTGTATTTCAATACACACGCACATTTTGACCACAAACGAAACGATCGGTTTGTGGTGCGTTTCGTGAGAGCTGTCAATTGCCGTCGAGTTGAATGCGAAGAACAAGAAGAAGAACGACAAAATGTCGACATACCCAACGCATTTCAATGCGTTCCGTTTACGCGTTAGAAAATCAATTCAATGTTTACATTTTTCATCGGGCGTTTGCATCTCTGGTGATAATTTATTTAATGAATATTCTAGCCATGGATTTGATGGGTTTCATGAATTATAATGCACTTTATGCATGGCATATCATTGGCTGAGGGTAACACTTAAACATGGAAGCTTTACATATTTCCGGCATAGATTTTATGACCTTTAAATTATTCATATGTAGTTGGGATCTATATGCAGAACGATTCGTGTCCACTCACGGTTCGATTGACGCTGATTGACATGAGCGCTCATTGCAGCGGCATTTAAACATTAACATTTCAAATGCAATTAAATTGCAATTGAAAATTTTATTAGCGCAAAATGTTAGTCATCAGAGAAGAGCTGAAGTGGCATCGATTTTTCTGAAATGGTGCACATCGGGGCATGTATTATCCACTTCGAGTCAGTATTTTTGCTTGAAAAGTAAAAAAAAAAAACAAAGATGCTGAATTTGTAATTAAAATGACCAGAAAATGTGTCTCAATCTATCACTAATCTAGAAAAAAAAAACCCTGGCCATTGCCATGGACTTGATAGATTTTATTTCCCAATATTCAAAGCATTTTCGCAGCAACATTGAATCAATTAACAAAACGTAAACACAGTTTGACAATATGATTTGTGACAGAAATTTGCCGAACATTTGACATTTCTATAGTGCTGTGCTATTCTCCTGCATTTTGGATGTTCGAATTTGCAACTCATAATTTGGTATATATGTATACCTATCTACCTAGGCCAATACATGCAACATAACCTCAAAGTTTGATGTTCGAAACGACCGAAAGCAGCTGATCGAAAATGTCAAGCGAGATGTGAAAATGTTTACGAATCAGAATTGGCCATTCGAAAATTGAATGAATTGTGCATCAATGAATGCCCGAATGCAATGAAAATCAAATGCTAAACACATCCGTCGTTCGGAACAGTGTGGATTTTTTTGGAATTTCAATGAAAACTGGCAATTGTCATTCAGTAAATTGCACAACAAATTGGACTTGCGTCAACCATTCATTCTCCATATTCGAATTTCATTCGGGCTTGTTTTTTTCTTTTGGTTTTTTCCTGTATGTCACTTTTTTTTTTTGTTCGTTCTCGTTTTTATTCACTGTAGGTTGTTGAATTTTTTTTTTCCTCTCTTCGCTTTGCTTCTTGTATACACACGATAGAAAGAAGAGTCATGACCAAAGTGAAAAGCTATGTGCTGCGTTAGTATGCACTTCACATAGCGACTGTAACAGCCTAGTGTCAAACAGAAAAATAAAAATTCAATAAATATTTGAAATAACTTGAGAGCGTTTGCGGATAAATTGTGTGGCATTGGACAGTAAGTAGAAGACAAATAATATTTTGAGGAATTTTTTCTTTGATTGGGCAATTTTTTTTTTCGTTTCGTTTTGTGTGTGGTAAATTTATGGGAATTAAGAAAATTCGTTGGAAAAAAAATATCAATTTTGTTTTAAAACCAACGTTGTTGCTGATAATTGTGGCAATGTTTCATTGGATATCGTGTCGTTTTGGATACGGGCTGGACGTTTTCGAAGCAAACGGTGTTCGGGCTTCATTTTTTTTTTTTGCTTCTTTCTTTCTCTCGCTCTTTCCTTCGTTGCTCATTTAATTTTCATTGTTTTTATTTTCGTGTCGATTTTTCTACTTTGAACACAGCAGCAGCAGCAGTAGCAGCAGCAGCGACAACAACAAAAAAATGCTGCCTGCAAATAACTCTACTCTATGTGCTGGCTGTGGTAGTTTTTTTTTTCGAATATACTTTTTTTTTCTCGCTATATTCTTCTACACTTTTTGTTCAGTTCGAAGTTTGTGTTGCGTTGTGTTAGTTCGGTTGCTATATGCCGCGCCACGGCTTGTCGAATTGCTGCTGCGCTAGTATTGGTGCGTTTGAAATGTGAACGAACATTCGATTGCAAAAGCTGCATTGTGTTGCGAGTGTGCAAGACCGGGATAGGTATACAAAACAAAAAAAAACAACGAAGCAGTCACAGTACAATTGTGTGTATCGGTACGTTGTACACGGGCGTACGGTAGCGTCTTGGTAGTGGTAAGGTATACCATTTTCAGATTGGCATTGTGAGTTTGTCTTCGAAATTTCATCTGAAACATTCAGACATTTTTGTTTGTCGTCCGACCGATTTCTTTGAATTCGATGCTCAACTGATCCCAACCACACACACACACACACGCACACAAAAGAAGGATTCCATTTCGCCGTTTTCAATCAATCTCCAATTCCAAAGAGTGAATTTTAATTTGCCGTCAAAATTTTCGTGTATTTCTTCAGTGTTTTAAGAAAAGAAAACAGCGTCTTGAAAATGGTTTAAGTGGTCAGTTAGAACGGGTGAACACACAGAAACCTGCAAACTATCTAGCAAACATCGAATTCGAGTGAGATCTCAAACAAACACACCGTTTGTTCAAATCATCTTCTATTAGTATTGTGTAAGGCTGGTGTGCATACATAGATTTGTTTTTTTTTTCGTTTTCGTTATATATATATATATATATATATATATATATATATGCATTATTGTTTTTTTTCTTCTGTTTCTGTTGTTGTTGATTAATTTCCCATCGTTCATTTGACTATTTCTTTACGACGGGCTTCGATAGAGCTAACACTGCGTGCATTGCAATTTATGTGCGAATACTTGAACGAGGAAAAAAAAACTCACTAGTTTAGAAAAAAAAAGATGCGATGTAAAATCTTGAAATATTGATACGTTGATGACTGTCAAATAGTACACAAGGGAACACAAAATAAAACGAACAGACAGTTTCGTTGCGAATGACAACTACGTTCACTTGACAGAAGAGCTAGAAAAGAGAGAAAAAAGCGCGATACAAGCAGAAAGAGTGTGTGATTGAGAAATAGCGCCAAACAAAACGTGTCATATATATATATATACAAAAATCATAAAACAATTGAGTTTGTATGAAAAAAAAAACGAAGAACAAACCGTAGTTTGAGCGTAGAAAAAGAAGAACAGCAGAAAAAAATGGATAGCGAAAGTAGTCATAGCAATTCGACGTTGGAACGAAAAAACCCACGTCGAAATCGACGACTTCAAAGCAGCAATTCAAATGAGAGCGATTCGAGTGCGAGTTTAATGCAAGTGGATTTTGATGCCCTAAAAAATGATACGGCTTCCATTGCAAATGTAGACAGTTCGAAAGAGGATCCGTTATCACTGCCATCAATGGACGAAACACAAGCTCAAACGCAAAACAATAATGATGACGAAGATGATGAAAAAAGTCCCGCAAACTGTTTACAAAATCGAAGCGATACCGACAATGAAAATGCAGAAAATGCTGAAAACAATGTTGTGAATAATGTTAGTAAAATAAAGTTAGTGCCATTGGAAAAATTGTTGTCGTATACGCATACAACAAATTCAAATTCACAGTGTCAATCGGTCGAAATAAGTTCAGATTCAAGTGATCAGCCACTCGCTGATATCATCAAGACAAATAACAAGCCAGGTCCAAAGAGACGATTTTCAAAGAAGCGTCGCAAACCAAGTTGTATTGACATTAGTTCGAATGAGTCGGACAGCGATGATGCCGGTACAATGGTGCGACAAAAGCCAAAGCACAAATCAAAAGTACACCGTTCACACCAAGAAATCCTTTCGGTTAAAGTTCGATTAAATAAACTGCCATCCAATTTGGAACCGCTTCTCAAACAGTACAATCTTATCGAAATTCGTGATCGAGACCAAAATGTCATTGTATCACGTGAAAAAACACATCGAAACACTGAGGTACACATAAATCTAACCAATTTTCATTCTCTAAATGTTTCAACTAAAAAAAAAAGAAATTGTTTTCTTCTGCGAGAGACGAGATTTATTCAATTGCCAGTTGCCCATTCAAATCCATTTTATTTCCATTTCGTGTCCAGTTATTTACTTCTTTTTTTTTCATGTTGATTTAAACCGGAATCGATTTGTTTCGTTATATCCTTATAGAAACAATCGAAATCGAAATCAAGCACAAAGCGCTTATTAAGTGATGGAAGTAGTGATGCAACCGATGACAGTGTTGTCAAGTTGAAAAGAAATCAAGCCAAAAAACAGGTAACAGATTGATGCAATTTGAGAAAGGAAGAGAGAGAGAGAGAGAGAGAGAAAACGAATGACAAGATTTCCTTCGTTTGAATACAATCAATTGTGAATACACAATCTGATGTTTTGTTGAGATTAATCCAAAAACAAACCTTCAATCAATCCAACTATTGTTCGTTGTTCTAGAAACTAAGTGACAACTGTGAACCGACCACTTCGAAGCGCTCAAGACAATCTGTCAAACAGAATAAGAGATCAGATCGCATAAAGAAACAAAAACCATTGCGCTACAATATTTCCTCTGAAAGCGACAACCAAAACGACATCAACGACACCGACGACTCAGTAAGCATACACCGATTTTCAATATAAACACAATGCATTCATTTTTGAATAGAAACTAATACATACACACAATTTCGTGCATTCAAACAAACCGAACGTGTTAGAGCCCCAACAAATCGAATCCAATCGAAACACCAGTAGTGTGACATTCAAAAAAAAAAATCCGGTCATTTTCTATAACCAACGATCCGAATTTTGTGAATACGATACCGTTTTATTTCAGCGTCGCACTTTTTCTTTCGATGCAAAGCACGTGCCAATCCATTCCATCGAGCACATGTTAGCGACAATCAAGCCATTGTTTTGTTCAAATTGGTTTTTTTGTTTGTTTTGAATAAAAAGAGAAATCTGTGTTGAGTTCATTAGTTCTAATTGATTTTTTTTTCTGGAATGATTTTGACTGATTCAATAGGTTGAGAACAACAAGAGGAAAATGCGGAAAAAGAATGTGCCGAAATCATCGACCGATGTCACCGATTCGAACGGTGCATCCAATTCAGAAGATGAAATTGAAGAGAGTAAAAGTAACGAAAGCGAAGAGGACATCCGAATGAAGCGAAAACGTCAAGTGGCCGTCAAGAAGAGCAGCAATGATGATGATGATGACGATGAAGATTATCCCAAACCGTAAGTTATTATTATGAACAATGGCTGAATCGATTTTTGAAATTAATTGGATAAAGAAACGGAGAAAAAATTTAACGATTTCATGGAAATGTGGTTAACTTTTGAATCAACAAAAAAATATACGAAAAAGTTACACTGCAAACGACAATGTGTAAACGATTTGATTCTTTTGAAATAGTGCGAAACACAGACGTCGCAAGCGAATCAGAAAGAATTCGAGCAGCAGTGACGATGATGGGGAGATGGGTACGCCAAAGAAACATGGCCGAAAAAATATCCGCAAGGTGATACGAAGTGCCGATTTGGAGGTGGAAACAAAAGAGGCTGCCAAACGTGAGGCCGAACGCAAGAAGCGTATCGAAGAACGGCAAAAATTGGTAAATAATGACACCGATAAAGAGTTTAAGTAATGTGTTCTATAAATTTTTCACTGATTCGATTTCGAAAAATTTTAGTACAACGAAATGTACGATAACAAACTGGAGGAGATAAGTGAGCTTGACAAATTGGTATTGGATTTTGATCCCGAAACAAAGGAGGAATTGATTTCGGTGGATAGAAAACTAGTGAAAAAGCTGAAACCGCATCAAGGGCAAGGTGTTAAGTTCATGTGGGATGCATGCTTCGAATCGATTGAGAAGATCAACGAAAACCATGGTGGCGGTTGCATTTTGGCCCATTGCATGGGTCTTGGTTAGTTTGAAATCATATTCTATTTACCATACTCTACATTGCAAAATATCACCCGCATGAAAATAAATGGTTATCAAATGATTTTGCATTGTAATTACAGGTAAAACGTTACAAGTCGTTGCGTTAGTGCATACACTATTGACGAACAGTGAGGAAACGGGCGTGGAGAAGGTATTGATCATATGCCCAGTGAGCACGGTTCTGAATTGGGTGAACGAATTTAAAATTTGGCTACGCCATTGTGGCCACAATCGAAACATTGAAATTTTTGAAATTTCCAAGTAAGCATCGAGACCGCGTGAATGTTCCATCAAAATGATGCACAAATGTCTAATTCATTGTCTCTCTTCCCTCCCTCTCCCTCTACCTGGATTTTAGATACAAACAAAATTTGGAACGGGCAAATCGAATCAATGAATGGCACAAAGAGGGCGGTGTACTTATTTTGGGCTATGATATGTTCCGAAATTTGTCGAGCGAAAGTACACGGATTCGAAAAAAGCAACGGGACATCTTTCAAGAGAGTTTAGTGGATCCAGGACCCGATTTGGTCGTATGCGACGAAGGTCATTTATTGAAAAATTCCAAAACATCGCTGAGCAAGGCCGTCAATCGAATTCGTTCGTTGCGTCGCATCGTTCTGACCGGTACCCCACTTCAAAACAATCTCAATGAATACTATTGTATGGTGCAATTTGTGAAACCGAATTTACTTGGAAAATACAATGAGTATTTGAATCGTTTTGTGAATCCAATCACAAACGGCCAATACACCGACTCAACGCCCTTTGATATTCAGATGATGAAGCGCCGGTCGCACATTCTTCACAAATTGCTCGATGGTTGCGTACAACGTCGAGACTATTCCGTGCTCGCACCATTCCTACCGCCTAAACAAGAGTACGTGCTTTACATTCGAATGACCAAACTTCAGGTTGATCTATACAAGGTAAGAGCGCCATTTAAACCACGACTGGTTTTTATTCCGTAAGACAAAGACTAATTGATTGTACCCGAAAAAAAAAAATAAATTGCAGTATTACATGGCCAACAGACCGGCTCAAAGCGAATTTGGCAAGACACGGTCATCAATTTTGTTCCAAGATTTCCAGAATTTGCAACGAATCTGGACACATCCTCGTGTACTGCGATACAATAGTGATCGTTACGAGCAAATGGCACAAAAGAAAAGGTTTATGGCAAGTGATGATGAAGAAGAAGAAGGTTCGCTCAAAGATTTCATCGATGACGAAGACGATGAAGATGATTCCGAAATGGAAAACAGCGCATCGGACAGCTCATCATCATCAAATGGGTCATCAGTGCAATCGGTTCACTCAGACAAACCATCAAACAGCAAAAAGTCACAGGCACAGGCACAGGCACGCCGAACCAGAGCCAATGCCAGAGATTGTTAGTGAAGATTTCCCATCACAAGTTGAATATTAGAACAGAGTACACAATTTTACAATCGAATCGTTCTTTTCCCCCCTCCCCCCATTTTTTCATTAGTCGATCCGGAGCCAATTGAGCCGATAAAGGAAGAGAATCCAACCGAATGGTGGATGCCATTGTGCCCTGAGGAGGAATTGAATAATATCGAATACTCCGGCAAATTGATGCTGTTATTCTCGATATTGGCTGAATGTGAGGCATGCGGTGATAAATTGCTAGTGTTCTCGCAGAGTCTCTTTTCGCTCGACGTCATCGAACACTTTTTGGCGATGATCGACGAAAACACACAAAACCCCAATCCCGATGCCAAACTGGGCGGCTTTACCGGCAGCTGGGCACGTGGTCTTGATTACTTCCGTTTGGATGGTTCAACAAATATCGAAACACGGAATGCCAACTGCATCAGTTTCAACAGTGAGGAAAACTCAAAAGCAAGGTGAGTACAAAATACAGCTCTTTTTTGATGAAAATCATTTTCGAATTTGTTTTCGCCAATCTCTAATTTTATCTGCAGACTCTTTTTGATTTCGACACGAGCTGGTGGCTTGGGTATCAATTTAGTGGCAGCGAATCGAGTTATTATCTTCGACGCTTCATGGAATCCATCTCATGATGTAAGGAATCGAATCTTTTCCATTTTGGTCTTTTTTTTTAATCGCATTTTCCATTTATTTTTCACCCAATGTCGCAAGCTCTTAGGGTTCGTTCTAATCTTGATATTGTTCCATTTCTTAGATTCAAAGTATTTTCCGTGTATACCGTTTCGGTCAGAAGAAACCGTGTTACATTTACCGTTTCATTGCGCTCGGCACAATGGAAGAGAAGATCTACGAGAGACAAGTGACCAAATTGGCAATTTCGAAGCGTGTCATCGATGAGCATCAAATCGATCGACATTACAAAGAGAACGATTTGAATGAGTTGTACAACATTGAAAATATTGATCCAGAAGGTGATCCAATACGGCCTAAACTGCCTAAAGATCGATTGTTCGCCGAACAGCTTCACAAGTATCCTGATCGAATTTGGAAGTTCCACGAGCACGACTCACTGCTAGAAAATAAATCGGAAGAAACGCTGTCGAAAGAGGAAATCGAAGCGGCGTGGAAGGAGTTTGAAGAAGAAAAGAATCGACCAACTGTTCAACAACAGAGCTTCGTTGGATATCCAGCGTATCAAAGAGGTAGGTTTTTTTTTTCTCTCCACCGAACGATCAACTCAAGAAGATTAGATACTTAAATAGAAATTTGGCGATTTTGCAGCACCAGGCGCTGGACCAGTTACATCAAACAATATATTCGGCTTTCGTACGGATATTCTTTTACAATTGCTTAATATAAAAGCACGCCGTACCTATCCAGGCACCTCAAATATTTCGGATATAGTTCCTATGCTACTGAAACACTTGTATGAAACGATGGAAAAGAATGACACATCGGTAAGTAGCGTTAGAGCAATATTGAGCTAAGGATGAATTAGCCTTCACAATTCTCAACAATATTTTTCAATTGAATTTGTCTATTGTTGTTTCTGTAGTTTTATCAAGAGCTGCTTTTCATCCAGCAAACTGAAATGGCGGCACCGTCTCAAGGTAATAACGAAATGGTTTTGAAAACCGAAAATATAAATATTGAAGGGCAGAAAAAAATATTAAAATATTTCTTTTTAATTTGAAGGGAGCTATTTAACACCAGCTGGTCACATAATGCCAGCCTACAGCGGACGAGGCAGACCTCCACTAAATCCACAAAACAGTACCGTTGTAAGTGATTTGTCCACGTTTTTGTTTTAATTCTTCACAACTCTACCTTGATTGGATAGATCGATGATGAAATGAAGACCTTTTACTAACAAAAAGTGTGTGTTCTTTTCATTTCTCTTCTGAACAGCATATGCAACAGCAGCATTTGATTCAGCAGGCACAAAATAGACTAATGAACATAAACAATGGTAATCCACGATTGCCAGCACCTCGCGTAGAACCGCAAGTAATCGAAATTGATTAAACGAGCTTCGAGCCGAAGAAGCTGAATAACCGATGACAACAACAACAACAACAACAGCAACCCGTTTAACCGCCAGGCTTAAATTTGCCAGTGCAAATTGAAATTTGGATCTAAAATCGATCTCTTTTGTTTTTACTTTGGCTTTCAATTGAAAACAATACATTTTTCGTTCTGTTGACACACAAGCCAACACATGAAACATAACTTTGAATCAAAAACCATACGAAAAGAAAAAGAAAACAGAAAATCCTTGGAATATTTGTATTTATTATTAGAACCCACAAATCCGTGTCGAATGTTGATTAAACACAATTTTGTGTTATACGTAACACAACATCCGAATTACGGTCAGTGCTAACCAATCCGTAATACTCTTCCGAAACCACTTCATTCTTGAGACAACGTCATTTCATCCAAAAAAAAACATCGTGGCCACTTGACTCATATTCGATGACACATTCGCAACGGATCCCATTCAAAACCAATTAATTATATAAACATAAAATGTGTACTCTTTCAATTGTTTCATTGAGTTCGGAGAAAAAAGTACGTGTTGGTGCCGGCCCGAAATTGCGATTGATTGATTTCCTCTCAATAATAAAAAAAACAAAGAAAAAAAAATTCAGTACAGGAAATTTTAAGATAGTTTATGTCTTCGCAAAAAAAAAATTAACGTCCTCATACAAGGAATCATTTTCAGCGAAGATTTGTGATACGTAAATGGAAGAGAAATCAATAAAAGAGAAAAAAAAAATGAACAAACAAACGAGAAAAAAACGGTACTGAGAAACTTATATGAATAAGAGAAGCCCGGAAAAGACACATTTAAAAAAATTCAACAATTCAAAAAACTAGCACATGAAGAAGAAAAAAAATACCCAGATATATACAAATATCGAAACATTGAGCCCAAAATAAAATTTAAATTATTACATTTGAAATAGGTTTAACTTATGTTAAAATGCAAGTTTAGCTCATCCAATTCTCTTTTTTTTTTATTGGTTTTTTAAGCAAATTTAATTCCAACATTCTTTCACTCAATACAACATATTTGTTTGCAGCAAAATGTTTTATTCCATAACAGAATCATCTTGATTTTTCTTTTTTTTTCTATCAAATTTCACAGCATAATATGATTTATACCGAAAATTCATTACACAAAAAAAACAAAAATCTTGAGAAACGAAAAAAAAAGATAATGAAAATAAATACATTGGTGGGTATCATCAGTAAATCAGAAGAATAGATGGTTTTAATTGTAGCAATTGTGTTCATATTGAATGTAGTTGCGCAGTGTCAACTTCAATCGATTTCAGGAACAACAGTCAATTGTCAGGTTTCAATTCGGAACAACGGCCAATTCTAGCATCAATTGTCAAAAGGATTGCAAGAGGTAGGTTCAATGTGGCAATGATGAAAGATATTTTCTGAGTCTTAACTTGGAAACATATCAATTTCCCTTTGTAAGCTGGTTTCTGTACGGACGTAATCACTCTTTATCTGTCATTTTGTGTGATTTCTCAAAAACTGGGATGTCAACGCCAATTTAGCGATTGGCTGCATAAAACAAAGAAAAAGTTCAGAGTTACTGTAAGTACCTTCGTAATGATGTCAATATCAATCATATTACTCAAGTAATTAGGTACCAATCAAATTTCTAATACTAAAATTTAGTACGATTTTCGGGAAATTTAGTAGGGGAAGGTGGGGAAATTCGGAACGTGGGGAAATTCGGAACACCGCCAAATTTCGCCGCAAATGAATAGTTTGGGACATGTGAACAACTGTCATCGTTTTCTCTAAACAAAACCTCATATTTCCATTAGCACTTGACGAGTGTGTACGTGCGTCATCGACATGAAATCAAGTCATGAAAATTTAATATTGAGAA